TGCTCCGTAAAATCGTCTCTTTCATCTTTCTCGGACGGATCTAAAAACTCTAATCGCGACTGAATTTCTTCAAATTTATCAAAGTCTTTTGTTATTTGACCTAATCTAATTTCAAGTTTTGTAATCTTTTGATGATTCTGTTTATCGTTCAAAAATATCTGAAAATTATTTAACTTGTTCCCTAAAATCTCCCTTTCATGTTTTAACTCTTCTTCAAGAGACTTATTCTTTTTTGGCATTTTGGCAATGTAGGAGTTGGCTGTTAAATAAGTCTAAATTATAAAAAACCGTGAAATGCAAAAACATATAACTACATTAATAAGTTTTAAACATTAACGATACCAAATCAAAACCTGTGTACACCTTCGATTTCTTGAGATCCAATTCTTCCACTCCTGCTCTAGCTTTCTGGCTACTTGAAATTCCCGGTTCGATTAGGACCAATTTTATGACGAGAAATAATTGCTGAGAAATAACAAAAATGCTGTGCAATATATATTTTCGACGTTATTATTGACAACTTACAAAATTCTTAAAATTCACATTGACAGTATTTTTAATAGGCGGGTAATTTGTGCCTTTTTTACAAAATAAGGAAAAATAAACTCAACATTATCCTATGATTTTTTGAACGAATGGTGATAATTAATTTTAATATTTCGATTTTTGTGATAATATACATATAATTCTTACCTCCGGTATATTGTAAAGATTTATTGCTAGAACTGCAAAAAGCTCTGATAGTTTGAATCATTTTTTGCAAGTAAATTGAAAACATGATAGCAGTTCTTTATTTTAATTCCAATTTAGTTTGGTTTGAATACGTTTGGCTAAATCTTCAAAGGCGTTTTTTTAAGTTATTAAGTGTTTTCCCTTAAAATGAACCACCAGCAGCAAGAAAATCGAAATTTGTCAGAATCAGATTTTATTAGAATCGTTACTCTTCGCAAAGAAGGATACACTCAAGTTGAACTCGCTGAACGGTTTAATGTCACTCAGTCAACCATTTCACGAGTGTTAAAGTTTTAACATGTTTTGCTGTCACTGGGAGTAACTCAAGAAGACCCGGTCAAGGCCGTGGAAGGGTTATAACTCCTGATCAAGACCGGTTTTTGAGACTTCCTACACTGAGACAAAGATTTGTTACCAGTCATTCTCTTGAAAACGAATTTTTGGATCGTTTTAATTTTAGAATAAGCCAAAACACGATAAGCGCCCTGCAGTACTATTCTTGACCACTTGCAAATTTCAAGGTCACTCGTAAAGTCTGACATTACGAACGAAATAGCAAATTGTGTATTCTTGATTATTTTTTTCGTATAACTTTTAACCAATTAGAACGTTCAATTTAGTTAAGTTACCTCATATAATTTCGATAATACCTGATTATACATAGAGTAGCTCCACTAATCAAAAATATTTACAATAATTTCATTTCCGTAGTAACTACATCGACAACAATACACTAACTAACAGGACCGTCAAATTTTGACGTTTATCAATAATTATTTTCATTGTACCAATATGTATTTAAATTAATAAATTGTTGATATTTACTTAATTTACTCAAAAAATAATCGTATCAAATACAATACGTACTTCAAAATAAATACGGTTATACATCTCAAACTTCCTGCATAATTACAAATCGTGTCAGTTTGACAGAATAATCCTCCCGCTTCGCGGTCGGATTATTTAAACTGTCAAACTGACACTCTTTATAATTATGCAACAAGTTATCGATGTATAACCTGATTATTTTGAAGTACTTATAGTATTACTACTGATTATACGCAACACATTCGAGTACTCGAATAAAACTGCGAGTGTGTATTATCAATCGCAAACTACTTGCGTGTGCGTTTAATGAATTGACTTGTGTCATATGTGTTCAGTTTTTAATTTAAGAGATATTTTTTTGAATGAATACTCATTTAGACTTGCTAAAAACCTTAAAGATGCGATTATACCATGGTTATAGCAGTGAAGAGACATAATTCGTTCCAGAATAATAATTTATTTCATATTTTAAGTGAACATCAGTTTGTGCAAACATTTAGAATTTCAAAAGAATTGTGTTAATTTTTAATAAATACACTCTCGTCCTATATGAGACTTCAGATTAAATATAAATTAACATATTTCATTTAGTTGGTTAATAGTAGGTTTCTGATTTTGTAGCTTTTAGTAGCTTTACGATTTTTGTGCCAGAAAGCTGTAACATAGACATTGATAGAAGTTTATTTGTATCAGTTTTCCGGGCATCAGTGTACCGATATCCTGAGGATATCAGCAGTCCTTCAAATGAACCAGATTATTTTTAACAAATTTAACATTTCCCAAGAAATTTTAAAGAGCTAAATGCAGTCAGATAATGAAAACTGTCATTCCATGATACAAAACATTAGTATCGTGCTGTCATTCAGCGTGTCTTTTTAATATAATTGCAATATTCCCAATTTGAGAATGTAGAAAATTCGCAAGTATGCGTAAAAGAACCCTTAAGGTTGAATATACGTGAATTTTCGAAAAATTTTAAGAATAGCGCCGCTGGAAGGGCACACACTGGTCCATTATTGACCAGAGAGCATAGAAGGCAAAGATTTGATTTTGCTCGTGAACATGTTGTTTAGATTAAGGAATAATATTGTTCTTCAGGTACTCTCTTTTTTCTGACGATAGGCGGAACAGAGTATACAGAAGGCTTGGCGAACGCTACGCACAGTGTAACATTATAGGGACTGTACAGTATGGTGGCGGCTCAGTAATGGTGTGGGGTGGGATTAATTTGGAGGCTCGTACAGCGTTAGTTAGGATACATAGAGGGCGGCTTACAGCACAAAGGTATATTACAGACATTTTAGAAGAGCATGTCTTGCCATTTTCACCATTTATTGAGGATAATTTCATGCTTATACATGATAATGCAAGACCACATGTTGCAAGAATTGTGCAACAATATCGTCAAGAGGTTGGAATTCCTGCCATGGTTTGGCCTACGAGAAGTTCCGACCTCAACCCGATAGAACACGTTTGTGACATCGTAGGAAGACGACTACGACAACTACCTAACCCACCAAACACATTAGATCAACTGTTTTTGTAATTAGTTGAAACTTGGGATCAAATAACGGTAATTCTTAGTATGAGAGATCGTTGTCAAGCAGTAACACTAGAGGAGGCAATACTCGCTATTAGATGAATTTTCCATTTTGTCATTTTTTCATGATGTCAGTTAGTCTTATTGCAATACATTTCTCGTAAAAAAACAATGTTTCTTATTTCAGATGTTCTAAAACCAACCTTAAAAAACAAAATATTTATTCGTTGTTGCCGAAATTATAATTTTAAAACTATTCGTTAATTTTAGTGCGCAGTCTATATATATATATAAATGCCAATTGTTTGTTTCATTTAATTGTACCCTAAATATTGAAATGGCAATCTTAATAAAGTCTCTATTTACTGGTAAGTACCTACTTAATTAATATGTGTTCTCGTACAGTTTTTACATTTATTACTTTTTCTCAGTGTGTATTAATATTTGACCCCCAGTTATTAAACTAAAAATTAACATTTTCCACTATAGAATCTACACGTAAAATATTACCTTTTCTTTATGAATCACCCTGTATAGGTAAACAATAATGTAAATTGTCAAAGCAGACTTTAAACTGTTTATCTTTTACAATTTATGCAGGTATTTAAATATCAATTTAATTGTTTTTGGGGTGCAACTGATCTTATTTAAAAAAATGGTTAATCAGAGATATAATTATACCTTTAGGGATTACATTATTTCCATCCCTTTCAAAAGGCCTCCAAAAAGCCTTTTTTATAAATCAAAAATGTAATGTCAATACAACACTGGATAAACAAACACTGCCCACCTGTGCTCACTCAACACGGCGATAACACAGCCAAGCGTGGCGATTGGATATCCCAGTCCACGTGTAGCGGCATTTATTACGGGATATCGTAAGCTACCCCAAATAGAAATTTGAGGAAGGCTCGATTTAGCCAATAGGAGGACGGTACAATTAAGCTGTACAACATTATTCTTACGTGCTTGTCGTACAACGATGCCAGGAATAAAATATTTATGCCATAATAGCTCCGAATATATTTGCTCGAAGGGTACTATGCGCTAAACGTACACAGTCTTTTAGCTGTAATGGAATTGAACGCATCACTTTTTTTGCAGTTTGACAAAAAGTCTGAACGTCGGCGGTGTCTTTGTGAATTATATATAGATATATTAATAATACTGATATTTAATTATGAAATAGTAAAATTTATCTGTGCCGTTGACTATAGGTTGTAGCAGCCTAACATATATTCAAACGAAGAAATTATTTAAAATGACATTCCACAACTAAGTATACACCATAGTACCTAAACAATGTGTTAAACAGTGTTACAAGTCATTTATAAATTAAAATATATTTGCAAATTGCACAATTTTGATCAGTATTTCTTGTATAATCATAATGGAATGCTATTAATTAAAGCTTCAGCTAACAAATACATAAACATTAGAATATTTTACCTCATTAAAATAAAATAAAAAAATGTGATCAAATAAGACATCACAACAATAAAATTGTATTGTTAAGTTGTCAATATAAACATCATTTTTATTTTATTTGTTATTTGGCCCTAATATATTTTCTATTAATACATACCTATTTAACATTTAATTCTTTTATGTAAGATCAGTTACGGTCTAACATAACAGTTTATAATTCCTAGTATCCTTCTGCAAAATCAAACGGAGTACGATTAGTTTTAGTTAAACTAGAAACAGTAAAGCCAATAAAATAAAATGCAGCTTCTTTTCAAATTATTTACAGTTTCATCTAGTGAATTTTTCTGTTAGACAAAAATTATTATCACCCTGTATATTATGTAGGTAGGCCATTTACTTACCGTTTCTTATCTCTATAAATTTTAAATAGAGTTTATTTAAAAACCGTATCAAGTATTTATCGGTTCAAAGAGTCGAGTGTTTTATTACTTTTCCAGATTAAGTTAATGTGTTTATTATTTCTTGAATTGTACTTAATACTTACTAAATACATTAAATAAATATACCTACAGTGCTTTAAGATTATCTCATTTAGAAGTTTTAAAATTGCCACAATGGATATTATTATTGAAAAAGTAAGTTTTATTATAGAAATTAACTTTAGAATGAAACATTGATAAAGATTTGAGACGCAAACACGATTCACGTTTATTTTTAATTTAAAAACCATAGGTGATAGAACTTAATAAGTTGTTTATTAGTTTTTATTCTCGTATATATCTGTTGCATATTATATCCAAAGTACATGTACGATTATTGATTAATAATGCCATCGAATAATAATGACAGTTATAAAAAATAATTTAAAAACTAAACTATTTTTGCTTTGAGTGCTGCAAATTCTAATATAGGTTGGTGCATGTTTAATTAAAGTAGATATCCAGTATTTCATGCTCAATGTAAATAGTGCTCAAATTACTGAGTCTTTCATTGTGGAGCTCAAATAATTTTATATTATTTTCATTTTACTAAAGGACCTTCCACCAGATTTAACTGAAACTGGAAGCATAAAATTAAATTATTAAAGCTATGGTAACATTTGGAAACGTTGATGTAAGATAATTTTCAAAAATATTTTGCAAATAACTTATTCGATATCCTTTTAATGTCTGTGTTGTAGAATGTAAACGCAAAGCCTTTATTTCATGGTTAATGTCTGAATCTTCGCGTGATTCATCTTTAAATTTTGGATGTAAATCTTTGCAGTATGTACTTCAGCAAATATTTATCCGAGTGACTTTCTTTGCTGGCAAAAAAAACAAAAATACCTGCCGCGAATTATGATATTTGATCCAAAATTCAGTAAAATCATTCAACCTTAAAAGGATCCAAAATATATCTCAAACATTTTTGGCCTTATTCTTGGATGTAATGTTTGAGAAATAGGGAAGTATTGAAATCGTGAAAAAGCCACCCTCCGAGATTATTTAAAATTTTCACGTTTTAGGGTCCCTAGATTACGAAAAACATGTTTCCCCATTTCTGTCTGTCGTGGTCTGTCTGTTGGCGCGATAGCCCAAAAACGGCTTTAGAGAAAAACTTCAAATTTTGTATACAAATAAAGTTTCTTTCTGGCTCAAAACCAGTTATACTTCTGGTCAGTTATATACAGGGTGAGCAGTTATAAAAAAATAATTTATTTTTAAAAGTCAAAGATAACAAATCCCAAATAAAAATCAAAATGGTGTTGAAAGAAATCGTATTTAATCAAAAAAGGTCCTCCTTGAATATAAATAATAAAAAGCGTCCTTTTGGTTTATGTATGTTATGTTATGTTGGGAATGGGGTATTAATACCCTGCGACCTAAAAGATCTATTGTGCCCCCTTCTGTCGCCAATGCACCAAGGAAATGTCTCAATGCCTATAACGACCCTTCCAATCCTATTTTCTCAAGGAAGTGTAGGATTTGAAGTGGCTTCAAGTTAGGTAAATCTCCCTCTTCTATTTGATATCCTCCTAGATATAGTGCCCTTGGATTCTGGAGTGCTACACATTCAGTTAGGATGTGAATGGAGATTTCGTCCTCCTCCTCACAGAATCTGCACTCACTATCTTCTACGAGCCCTAACACAAAAATGTTCGGACATCAACTGATTTTGCGAAAAAGTTTAAAAATTTCTTTACGGGATTCAATATCATATGTTTTTCATTTATAAGACATAATATGTATTGTTTACATCTTATTTATGAAATTGTTTTCAAATAAACTAATATTGATTAATAAAACTAAACTAATGTTGATAAAAATGCAATATTTGTTGACACATAAATGTTCGGACACGTTAGTAAAACAAATAATAGCAAGCCATGGAAACAAAAAAAAGTGTTTCTATTTTGACATTTTGACTTGAGAATTAATTCGATTATCAATTGGCTCCAAAATGTCGCGTGGTAAAGCAACAAATGGTGCAATTAGAGAATTAATAGTAAAACTGTTTAACCAAGGAAAAACCTTTCGGGATATTGCTAAACAAATAAATGTCGCAAAGTCCACGGTGTCAGATATTGTGAAAAAATATGGAGAAACGGGTTCAACTCAAATTTCAAGACATGGTGCTGGTCGGCCACACAAAGTCACTTCCCGAATGTAAAGATCTCTTGTTCGGATTTGTAAAACTGATCGCCAAAGTACTGTAAGGGAAATAACAGCAAAATGGAATGAAGAAATAATTGGAAATGTTTCACGAGAAACGTGTCGTCGCTGGATCAATAAGTCTGGTTTACATTTTTATAAGGTACGTAAGTAACGTTTAAGGAAAATCTCATATTTATGCAGTGAAATCATTGGTTTAGGCAAAAGAAAAGCCGTTGCTGACGGAAAAACAAAAGAAAAGACGATTAGCGTGGGCAAAGGAACGAGCAATGTGGACTTTTGAAGACTGCAAAAGAATCATTTTTAGCGATGAATCAAAATTTGATGTTTGCGTGGGTGACCATCGATCACGTGTTATAAGAAACAAAAATGAAGCCTTTCACAAAGACTGCCTAAAAAGAAAACTAAAATTTCCATCAGGTGTTATGGTATAGGGAAGCATGTCTGGTTTCAGTGTTGGAAAACTGCACTTTATAGACGGAATTGTAAACGCAGAAAAATATCAGAACATTCTTGAAACCAATTTGTTAGTGTCAATTCCAATTTTATCACCTGATGGAAACTACTTTTCAACAAGATGGCGCCTCCTGCCATACAGCCAAGACCACAAGAAATTGGCTGCAGGACAACAATATTTCCGTCCTTGACTGGCCCTCCAGCAGCCCTGATCTAAATATAATCGAAACTGTATGGCACAAGATGAAGCAGCAATTAAGAAATGATCCACAGCGCAACATTTCTGATTTGCGGGTAAAATTGCAAAATATATGGGATTCTTTTACCGCGGAAGATTGCGAAAAGCTTGTTAAAACTATGCCTGATAGAATAAAAGCTGTTATTAAGGCAAAGCGAGATGCAACCAGCTATTGATGTGATTTGTCCGAACAGTTATGTGTCAATAAATATGCATTATTATCAACATTAGCTTAGTTTTATTGATCAATATCAGTTTATTTGAAAACAATATCATAAATATGATGTAAAACAATACATATTATGTCTTATAAATGAAAAACATGATATTGAACCCCTTAAGGAAATTTTCAAACTTGTTCGAAAAATCAGTTGATGTCCGAACATTTTTGTGTTAGGGCTCGTACTATTCTCAGTTTACTTAGGTGTCCTTTTAGTCAACAATGCCCGGTAAGGATCCCTGTTACAATACATAGCCTGTTCTTGTTCAGGCAGATGCAGGCTTCCGATCTTTTCTGGTTATAGTCACCCATAAGTATCTTGGCCTCTCTCAGCTCCAAGAGATTGATCCAATTATCGGCTCTTTTACTGCCCAATTCTTTTTTAATCTCTCCTAATATTATGTTACTGCTGATGCCGCAGAACGGCTCAGGTCCTACAAAGGGCGTTTGAGCCCCTTTCTTTGCAAGACTATCTGCAATCTCGTTACCCTGTACCCCGTTATGTCCCGGGACCCAAGTGAGAGTAACTCTTTTTTTCTCGCCCAGCTCATTCAATTGTTCTAGGCATCTCCAGACCATTTTTGAGCTGATTACGTAAGAGCTCAGCGCTTTGATGGCTGCTTGACTATCGGACATGATGATAGTCTCTTGTCTATGATAGTTTGTTTCTCTCGATGTTGAACTGGATACACTCCTTGATGTTGTGAATTTCCGCATGGAAGATGCTTGGGTATTTTCCCAAGCTTTCGGAGTGCTTGGTTCTCGGCCCATACACTCCTATTTCAGTTTCTTCTATGGTTTTGGAACCGTCTGTATACCACTGAATAGCACGTCTTTCGGTTGCAAGCGCGATGGGGTCTCGGCTCCATTCTTTTTTGCAGCCCAGCTCTGCTCTGTGGTTCTGAAGTTTTTCACAAAACTGCACTTCTTTGGCATTTCATCCTGGGTCATGTCCCAGGTATCTTTAGTTTGGTTTATGTAACTGGACAACTTTAAAAGCAGACAATTATTATCTTCAATAACGGTGAAAAAGGATTTTCTCTGAGATGGATAAAAAATACATTGTTGCCATCCGTAGTGGTCAGACCTTTATTTCAAGGAAAATTGTAGTTATGGCTATTTGAATTAACACGTCAGAATGTTGAAAAATTAAAACAGTTTTTACTTCTCATTTGTGTTTTCCACAAGCGAATTTTGTTTTGAAAAGCTATAAGATGACTGTACAGCTGATTTACCAATTAACCTTGTTTTTGAATCTTCAAGTTCAGGTCGTTTAAGTATCCTGTGATGTCTACCAGGAATGCCAAGTCACAAAGCCAAGTTGGATCACAAATTTTCGGCAATGTTTTCTCATTCATTTCCATAAAATCAGCTATTTCTTTTCTAAGGTCATAAATTCTTTTTAGCATTTTATCTTTGCTTAGCCACCTTACTCCGCAATAATATGTCACATCATCGTGTTCTGAAGAAAGTTAATCCAAAAATGCTTTAAACTGGCGATGGTTAAGACCGCGGAATGTAATGAAATTAATAGTATTTACTACCACATCCATAACATTCTTCAATTGAATGGACTTAGAGCACAAGTTTTGTTGGTAAATAATGCAATGCAGAATTATAATCCATTATTTGGGAAAAATGAGTTAGCCTCGGCATATTTTTCAAAACATGCTAAGCTTCATTTCACGTGAAAATGCTACATCTCCGCTATTCGATAATGTTTTATAATAACCGGTGTAGTTCCCTGTTTAGTTCGAAAAAGGCCACTTCTCCGGAGATCTGGCGTTTTCGAAATAAAGTGCGCACGCATCACATGTGATGATTCAGCCGTTGTTGGTGGCAATACCAGGCAGTCGTTTTAGTTCAGTCTCAGTTGAATATGATTACTACGATTAGGTTTGTGCATTGTTTATACAAAATGAGTAGCTCTGAAGATGAAAGTAGTGCAGTTATTAAAAATGAACAAAAAAAAAGAAAGAAAGGCGTGTTTAATCGTGCCCACTATAAGAGTGAAGTTATTAAGAAGGCCAAAGTGAAAGGTGAGGCACATTTTAATCATGTCGGAAA